TCACCTCCCTTTCTTCACCTCCCTTTCTTCATGTGTTCAATACTTTTTCCCTGTGCCATTCCACATTATTACAAATAACTTCATTTCTGGACATTTATGGTTTGATTTCTTTGTATGTATGGATCACTTGGGTTGTTATTGACATCTGGTGAAAATTTCATGTCATTAGCACCTCTAGTAATATATTTACTGAGAAAAATGGTGACGTGTTCAATACTCATTTTACTCGCTGTAAGGGGGGGAAAAAGATATTATATGATGCATTTCTGATGATCCCCATAAAAATAACCAGCACTCGCCTGAGCTTCCACAGGCTTGCCATCGATCTTAGCAAAGCCTTCGAAAAGGGTTTTGTAGAGAAAGTTCTTTCGTGCGGTGGCGGTGTTTGGTGGCAGGTAGCTGAGAACAGCGGTCCTGTGCTGCTGATACAAGAACAAGATGATGCGCACTGCCAGCTCCCGAACCTCTTTGGCAATGTGCTCCAATGCACCTGTACAAAACTGATTGATACAAGACAAAAGACCGTCTGTGAATGGGACTGACAAACCATTGTAATTTCTAAGTTATATTTATCTAACATAATTTATAGAACTGGTTGCATTATAGTCATGAGGGGGGCAACTATCTTGAATAGGGTTGCCTCTAAAAGGTGATTAGTAGTAGATGTGTATTCAATGTAGGTGCCGAGGCAAGTCGCCTCACAAAGGTAATGCTGCCGGCAGGGAACATAAACAAGCAGAGGTAAACTGCATTATAAGACCACCCTTCCTTTGCTTAACGAGGCTCAGGAACACCCTACCATTATTCCCATGTCTCCACTTCTCATTTTAATTACAGGAAATTCAATCGCCCCCCCCCTTCCCCCACAACTCTGACCCCCACCTTAGAGCAGATCACCCAGGTGACATCAGAAAAAGAGGAGAAATGTTTGAACTATTGCTGAGATACCGCTGTAGAGCAGCAAAGAGGGCTTGACATATGACGTCAAAGTGCTGATTAGAAAAGGACAAATTCTAAAACAAATTATATATATTGGGGATTCAGGTTATAAAACCAAATCCGACAGGAGTGAGTTTTTGTATGTGTATCTGTTGTGGCAGCAAACATACAAAAAGGTATTTTGATGTAAAAGTTGATGTGTTAGTAGCTGAAAGTCATCCTCAACTTATAACCTGAGTGTCAATCTGTTTGCATAAAATCAGTTTAAAACTTTGGCATTAACTACTGACTTCTACTTGTTGTTTTTAAGTCTTTACTGATTTTAATGAAACTTTTAAATTTAGGATTGGAAGTACATCTACAATTCATTAAGTTTTGGAGTCAACCTAATTCAAGATGGCTGCCAGAGCTAATTGACCTTAGCCACCAAAATATACGGTCAAAAAGCAGACGTGTTGGATTTATGTCAACAAATTATGTCAACTGGCTCCACTCAGTTGAATTGAGTACATGTAAAGCAATTTCCACATTTATTTTGAAAGTGAATGTGAAGTAAATGTGTTACGTTTACATTTAGATATTTCAATACTATTGTCAAATTTAAAATGTGTTTTTAAAGTAGTTAACAACACTTACTCTGAGCACTAAGATTACACAAAATATCATTTTTAAGGTTTGACAAAAATGTCTAACTTTATCTGTCTCTACGATGATCTTAGTTTAAAGTCTGGCATGAGATGTGATAGCCTTCAATGAGTGTTAGGTTTTTATTTATATAGTGTTTTAATTAGATATCAAACACAAAATGATTTATAAAATTTTAGCTTTAACAAACTGTGTACATGTTTCTTCTCCAACTCTAATGTGGCAGTTGTGGTATACTGTATATACACACCACTGCTTTGTTGTCGCATCTCAATCCACACTGAAAATGTTGAAACAAACATTTGAGACAGCTCCAACAAAGGGGGTCTGGCTCTGAGCAGGCCTGCCTCAACATGTAAATGCAAGCCTCATAGTACCACTTGTTTGCCTGTGGCTTCAGGACGAGCAGAAACTCAGATGTCAAACCTAACAATTTGCTCTCACTGACAAAAGTCAAGCAGAGTCAAGAAAAAGGCCAAACAGGGGGAGGGGAAGAGAACTGTGTCAACTAGAGAGGAGACAAGATAGTCTTTAGCTCTGACCCATTAGGTCTAGAGCTGGATAGATTGCATGTACGTATTAGGTCACTGCTGGAAACCAAAGAAGTAAAAGGGGAAGTCGGTGCCAGTAGTGACAACATGGACTTACTGTAACTGAGTGAAACTTACTGGAAGTCTGTTTAAGTAAACATTATTACAAAAAGTGAAGGACTTCTTCTAGTTAGTGTGTAATTTGTAAAAACCTCAATCGTATTAAAGTCATTGCTGAAGGTGGGAGATGTATTGGTGGCTGTGACAGAAATGTGACGGTGATTGCATTCACATCCTCAGATCACAATTCTGTTTCTAAAAACCCAAGATGGGAAAATAATACAAAATCGAGATTTCTAAACAGTTATTCAAAACCCAAACGGATCCATCATTTCTTTACCACTGGTCTACTGTTGGCAGAATAGACACAATTAACATGAAAATGTCAGATGTTTTCTACCAAAGAGCCACTACAACAAAATAAGGCTCTCGAACAAGGATGGAGACAACAATGACACAGTTTAAGTGGGTTCCCCTCACAAGAGGAAGTTGAGAACCTTCACCAAGTTGCAAGACATTCTGGAGACATTTGGGAGACACGTGAATGCCACTCATTAGCCAGTTGTAGCCCAGTGAGATACCACCTTAAATCCTTCTAGAGTCTAAATTTGATTTCTGAGATAAACCCAATTTGGTTTGTGGAAATTGTTTGTTTCATTGAAGACAAAACACCCAAAGGAAGTATGAAAGGATGTATTTAGTATATTACAGCTCATTTACCATGATGACATTCTCCAGGGTGAAGCCAGAGTTCTCTGTGCCCAGGTCCTGTAGTAGTTTCTCGATCAGCTCGGCCCGACTCTGAGCCAGGCGAGAGGGGAAATTGGATTTGAAAGGCTTCACCAGTTCACTGGGGATTATCTGCGAGGCCCGGACATCCTTCAAAACGGCTGTTTCCTAAACAAAATGTCACGAGAGAGTCAAGGAACGACTATGAGATTTACAGAGGTGGAAGTATTTGATGCGTTTATAGGCTTATGCCTTCTAATTAGGAAAAATGTGTACTGTACTTTAAGCCCCCCCCCCCCCCCCCGATAAATACCTGTGTGATGTTGCAAAGCAATTTATCTTTCAACATAAACATCTGGAAGGAAGACAAGTCATGGCAGATAGTATAAGTCTAGTACATAGAAGCAGGCTCTTAAACAGCCTCCCAATGTTGCTTGCCTGGTACGGTGAACATTATTTGGAGTTCTGGGACACAAAAATACATATTATTTGCTCTTGACAAACAAATAAGTCTTCAGCCACTTCTCTAGCAGACCATAGACGACAACTCAAAATCCAGATGGGTTTGGTAAACATATGAGCTACCGAGTTAAAGGGCCTACTCCCTGTTTCTGACACTCACACACCCATGCATGACTTCACTGCAACTGATTCCACAAAGCAAAGGCACATGCCATATACACGTCATGCATCAGCCCTCATAAACTGGCCGGTTTCACCCAGCAGCACATGTGAAGGCACCAGCACAACCCCTCCTCTAAAAAAAACCATCAACTACTTTCTGATCCCAGGTTACAGCAGCTTGGCTCCTGTTATGCTTTAGGGAGTCAGTGTGGGTAGTGGGGGTGAAAACAACACAGGGCTTGTTTAGAGGTTGATGCAGAACATGACGACACCTCCCTGCTTGTCTTGTACTCTTTATTAGGCACCAGAGAAGAATCCAGACTCTGAGGCCAGAATGGTACTAATTGTATGTTTGATAAGTTGTTTTCTAATAATCAAAAACTGGTTTTCAAACACATACAGTTTAACCAATTAGAAATCTGAAACACTTCCAGCTAAATTTTCTTCAAGTGCAGAAATTTCTAAACTTGACTGGGAAACAAAATAGTGTTTCCCTTTTCATTTTGTTTTTACATTTATTTTTCACAGGTGTTTGTATGTTTTGTGCAATAAAACCTGAACATTCTAGAAATCCTTTTCCAATATTCAATATCAAGTCTAACTTGACGTTTTTCATAGCTTTTTGTAGTCATGTGAAAACTGGAGAAAATTACAGTGAAAGCAGAAAAGATCCGGATGAAAATCAAATATGGTTGCAACACATTGGTTATGTCATGTTTTTATATCTATGTAAAATAAAGGCATTTTTAACATTATACAGAAAAACATGGAGAACCTTTGATCATTTTGTAAACCACAAGTTATCTGCAAAAAGTATGTTTTCTATAAAGTAGACATACCCTGCTTTTAATTCTTCTTTTTCACAGTTAAATCATTCAGTTGGTGTCTGTATAAAGTGGAACTGCAATGCTTTATTATGAATTTGTCCTTACTGAACTCCACAAACACCGGTTTCACCGCTTTCTAAAGTGTATCTTAGATCAACTTGTTTTGATGCTGTCTCTTTAAATTTTGCACTCCAAGAGACTCCAAGTACACAACAAAATGCATTTGGTCTAACTGGTTAAGGTAAAAATTAGGAAAAATGCCTTTGATATTTTTTTTTTCTAGTGCAAAGTTTGCTTGAGCTTCCTAAACAGAGTTTTTAAAATGTATTTAACTGTTACAAAAATATAAAAATCCAGATTTTTTTTTTAAATCTGGGAAAATAATCTCCATCATACACATAGAAGCACATAGTTTACATTGATTTATCTATTGCAACTGTTATTCGAAGATGCTTAGATCTAAAATATTTGGTGCACAACAAGCGTGCCACCATCACCATACCTGGATAAAGGTGATGGCTGCAGCCCTCAGGCGGTTAGCGGAGTCTCCGGCTCTGGCCAGCAAGTTGGGAAATGTCTGCTCCAGGCAGTGAGTTACCTCAGCCTGGCCCAGACCCAGACTTGGAATCAGCTGACTCAGCACCAGCCCAAGTAGCTTCAGTGATGCATGGAAAACCTAAGGTCATCATGATACACGTTAACAGATTAGAGTTAGCAATGTTTTACTTGGGCAGGAAAAAAGAGGGGTGGGTGTAAAAAAAGTTTTTATTTCTTGTAGAGCAGGTGATTGTGTAATATAATGTATGTAAATGTTAAGACCAAAAATCACTACGACTTAAGAGTTTGATAGCCATTTAAAAAAATTCTGTAAATTACTGTGGGCGAGGAAACATTTGTGAAGTTATTGTAGCAACAGCCTTTTCATTACCATACACGTTTTAAGTTTCTTCCAGAGGGAAAAATTACAAGGCCAACCTTGTCAAAACAGTTTGTTTAAAAACGCCAGCTGTGGGAGGGGTGAAAGAGTTTGCATCTGGTACAGGGGAGACTTTGTAGTGAGGGAGCTTGTGGGAGTGTGTGCTTATATTTTGACCACATAAATGTTAGTCCTGTTAAAAAAAAAACCTCTTGGTTAACATGACATATGCTGTAACAGATGATAGCAGCGACAAAGTAAACGAATGCACCGTGTCTTTACAGGGCTTTGTTTCACACCGAGACAATTATCTTTTGAGGAAATGACTCACACATGTAACCTTATCCAGCAGGGCCTTCTTGACCAGGAAGACTGCAGCTCTTATCATGTTTCTCAGCTCCTCCTTGGGGGCTGATGGAGATACTTCCAGCAGCCTGTTGTGCACAGTCAGCAGGGCATCTTCTCTGTGGGACCAGGTTTTAGAATACGCTCTGGCAACCTGGAAAAGAACAGTGGCAAAAGATTAGACATCATCAGGAATATTTTAGCTGTATTACAGTCATTATGAAGAGAAACTAGTGCATGCTGAACACAGTATAGAGATCAAACAACATTCAGTAAACCCATGTTGTGGCATATGCCAGAGAACATCCTGTAGAGTCCATAAAAGACAAAAAAAAAAAAAGAAACTAAAACATCACATTGTCTTACTAAGCTCTCTCCATACACCTCTACTGGAAGGCCAGCTTCTCTCTGGGCTTTCTCTGTCAAAGGTTCTGGCTCTCCGCCCATTTCTGCTCCTTGAGGGGTCTTTTGAACGTCAGATTTAGGGGAATGTTCTGCTGCTGGACTCTGGATGCTCTCAGCTGGCAGATCTTTTCTCTGAAAGGCTGGCAGCGGCCTCTCGTCATAGGGCAAACTGGTAAGCTTTCAGAAAAAAAACAAAAAAACAAATCACAAACCTAATTTAACTACAAATAAAAACAACAGAATATTTTTATTTGTCTTTTACCACATTTCAATAATTAACTAGAAGAAGTACATTTGAAATACAATGTGAACGCAGAATTTTTGCTGAAGAAGCTGAATGAGAGTTGTTAAAGGTGGGGTTTAAGTATTTCCCAAGCACAAAGTTCTATTCTGTACCACAATCAAGTAGTATGTTACCTTCAGTTGTTATGAAAAGGCTGTAAATATCAAAAATAAATTTGACTTTGCATCTTAGTTGCATCTGAATGCCTTGAAATTGGGAGGAGCTTTGTGCAAATAGGCGGTGCTTTGTACAGCAAGTGTTTAGGCAGCTCCACGTGGCTACCACAGGAGATTCAAGGATGCCTGAATGAGTCAAAGCAACATTCGGGGTATGTTTTTGGTTAGGGAATGACATTATAACACGATATAAAGCTCAAAAAAGTTGATTTTGCGTATTACCTCCACTCCCTTAAAACTAATAATAGCTAAAAGCCCATGCGCCAAGCAGCATTCTATAAGCAAAGAGTTGTTTCATTTAGAAACAAGAAAACAACATCCGTTTACACTCCTCTCTTCAAACCAAAGTTTGAGCCAGCCAGCTCTGTCTCTTATTCCTCCGAGCAAACTGGCACCCTGCTGCTTAACACAAGCCTCAAAGCACGGCCATGAGGCCAGGTTGGCAGCCGCCAGAGTCAGCCAACTGTTGCACGCTTTTAATTAAATAGTGAAACCTAAACCTACAGTAATGCAGGTTTTAGTAGGTGGTGACTAAAGGAAAAGGAAAAGAAAAAAAGAAAAAGCTTATGCTGGTCCTAATCTCCCTGTGTGCACTGGGTCAAGTACCATACAGGGTAAGTCAGGAGACATGCTCCAAAGGTGCTTCAGAGATTGATTACAACAATGCAGTTAAGAATGCAAGTAGAAAAATAAATACATACCATGAAAAGAATGGTAATCAAATAAATATTGTTTTAAAAATGCTTTTAAGTGCCTACTGGTGCTTGTTAAGTGAAGAAAATGAATGTGAAGAAAAGAGATGCTCACATCTATTTTGGGTACAGCAGCAGGGTTGGACGGTATGTCAGGTAGGCTGCTGGGTTTAAAAGCAACAGTCTGTTTGGTTGGCTGCTGATGCTGATGAGAGCTTGTTTTTTTCCCTTTCCTGCATGTGTCTGTAGATAACAGAGACTTGGCGGGAACAGGGCGACGTCCTGGAGAAGGCAGAAGCGGAGGAGGACACTGGGCTGGGGACGAACCTGCTGCACTGGTGATCTGGTGACACAGTGGAAAGACAGTGAACACATTTACCAGTATTTATTCGTGATTTCTATTGCGATCTAATAATTTCTCGATGTTTATTACAGAAAACATAAGCTGAAAATGAGTTTATATTCCATCGCACAACCTTCTGACTCATAGTGTGCAGCTGGAGCACCATCAGGCGTTTAGAACTGACCATTGTCACATCCAGAAGGTTGTGGACCTCAAGTTGCTGGTAAACAGTTCTCCTGTACTCGTCCATCAGCTCCTTCTTCTTCTTAGCCAAGTCATAGTCCTCCTTCTCAATGGCACATCGCTTTTCCACATCGTAACAAGCCAAACGCTCTCCAACCTGGGACAACCCAAAGAGATAAACACTGTGTGATAAAAGACTGCAGCTGACAAACAGAGCTGTTTGAGTCTTGTGATATTAAGCGGCTCTTGATTTTTTTTTTCCTATTTACATTTTTTTAAGACATTTATCTATTTATTTTTCCTGCTGACAGCAAAAAAGAACGATAGCTAATAT